AATCTTATTGTCACCGTTTTAATAGTGTTGCTCGGTTGGCAATAATCGTAAATACCGTCGCCCAGCCAGTACACTCTATTATATCAAACTTTGTTTAACGTTATTTAACCGTCCCTACCTTTTTTATACGGTTCGAACATTTTTTTTTTTTTTTTTTGTTTTCCTTCAATCTATGTTCTTAGTTATAAGAGCTCTCTGCATAGTGTTAGTAAATCTTACTTACACGTTGAAGTTTACGATTAAACTTTAAACAATTGAGTGCTTTAGGGACTAGGCTAGGTTAGGTTTTTTTTTCTTTTCCTTCTTCTTCTTCTTCTTCTTCTTCATTATTTTTTATTATGCAGCATACTATGTGTACCTGATTAATTATACGCATTAATTTCTACTGGCAACAAATCAGCTGGAGACCGAGTTTCTATACGGAAGACTTGACATAAAGATGCAATGAAAGGCCAAACAAAGCCTTTAATAAAGTAAAGGCAGGATTTGTTGATTTTACTTTGTTAACATTTTCTATTTGCTTTCAAATGTGGTCAGTAGATCTCTCTTGTTGAGCAAATAGCAAATGGTAAGCGGCAAACGTCACACATACTTATATACTGTATGTATCGCAGAGAACATCACAACACAATGTCTCCATTTACTATTTGCTGAACCTGATATATACCTACATATCTCTATATAATAGGTGTATAAATAAGTTCCTTTGTGTTGAAATTTGCTGCTTTATAAAACTTGTCTACCTGTCGCGTACATTTCTTCCGAAATTTCAAGTATAGATGACTTTGACATTGATCTCTTTACTGTATAAGAGTCGGTTGTTGACAAGTTGTCTTTCAACGTAGCTCAAAATGATGCGGGATGGCTGTCAGGGACCGCACTACTTTTTGTTCTGTTTTAAACGACAACGAAAGTCGCAAAAATGGGTAAGTTGACTGGGATGAAAAACGCCATGAAACGGTTAGACAATAATTTGCGATACAATAAGTGACCCCAACATGTTCTTCCGTATCCATCAATGCAGAGCAGGAAGAGCTTCTTCTGGTTGCAGGACTACTCTTCGCATCAACCTCCTGTCCTGATTGGCACTGCTTCATATTTAGCGAGGCAGCCATATTTAGCAGAACAGATGTTCGTAAAAGTCGAGGATATGAACAAATAGGTCAACGTTTATTTCTTCTCAAAAGTAGGGTGTTTCTGCCGCGATGGCATCCGCAAGCTAGTCGGTAGGAGACAGAAGATCATAGATAGTGATGATGATGATATTGCGAATATTAGGATTCGTAACAAGTGTTTGTCAATTTGAATTTTACGAAAAAACTACACAGAATCTATTTGTACACCTCGTAAATCTATGTGTTTGTGTATGTATGAATATAAATATATGAGCTTAAAAAATTCAAAAGATCAAAAAGAATCCAAACAAAAACTGAAAAAAGTGAAAAAAAAAAAATTCGTATATTTCTTACTGACTAGGTCTCGAGTACAATTTTTTCTATTCCTCCTGTTCTTTGCTTTTTCCTCTTTTGCATATATATATATATATATATATATATATCAGCATTTTCATAATAACGTAAGGTTAAAGGATAATAAAAGCATTGTATTTGTTGTATGTGCCTTTTGTGCTTGTAAATGTGACTGCTACCGTAGTACGTGTTGTCATAAAACATGTTTTTGTCTCGTTTTTAATGTGACAACAATTTAAGCATGAAATAGACAAACGTATCATTTTCCGTAACAACGTGTTCAGAGAGTTGAGTTAAAAGATTAGATTTACCCACATATCAGCTTGTTAGTTTTTGTTTTTTTTTTCTTTCTTTGAATTTTTTATTATTATATATTCTGTTTTTTTTTTGCTTCCACTATCTCACATCTTTAACCTTAACATAGTCGAAGGTTTTATATCAAAAAGTTTTTATATATAAAATTACTCAAATTTTTTATTTCAATGAGAAATTTATTGCAAAAAGTTTAAGTTAAAAGTTTGAAATAATTAAAACCAAATTTTCATGAAAAAAAAAATTTTTTTTTTTTTTTTCTAAATAACGTAACTATAACCGAGATATGAGATTAGTTTAGTGAGTAATTAATTGCACTTTAAAAACTATTTTTCTTCTTTTCTTAGATAGATTTAAGAGCAGGTAATAAAAACTTTTTTTTATATTAATATTGAGTGCATTAAAAAAAAGCCAATACTTCCATTTCGAACAGATTATAAGCGATCGTAAGTTTTTGATGATACTAAGGGTAAATATTTTTTTTGTTTTGATTTGATAAGAAGCGACAATCACAGAAAAGTGCCGTGTAAGACATATTTTTAAGCCCTTAAAAAGCTCTTTTGCAAATTATTCTGTTTTGCTAATAAAGTCATTGCAACTAGGTAAGCTCCATACCTAATCAATAATACTTCTAAATAGTTGTGCATCTGAAATATCTTTAGGGCTTTGATCCATATTTTCCTATACGTAAAGGAATTTCATTATGAAGCCAAGAATTACCGCATATCATCGTAGCGCACCACTAGGCGAAAAAAAGTCGCGCAAAACGTTTTCTCAAGAAACTTCGAATAAATTTGATTTGCCAGGTCTTAGATAAAGTTATCAAGTATGTGTGCAGTTTGGATCAATAGCCTCTTGATTTTTTTGTGGTAGAACAATAGAATGCGAAAAATGATTTTCACGTGCCTTTCATTAGCCGAGTTCTAAGGAAGAGACAACAAATGGTATCTGGGCCTTGTGCACTCTGGGGGCTACAGATCACAGCCAAACCCACTCATCATTACTTGACGCTTTGCGACAATAGCGCGCTTAATTCGGGAGTAACATCTTAAAACCCACCAAACTCGCCTGGAAACAAAGGTTTCCGTAACAAGCTTTTTGTTCATCATTGTCGTATATGATCCACTGCAAATAATTTCTTCAAAAATTCCTCATTTTTTTATCGTTTCAGCAGTGATTTGCTGTATGGTATCGCACGGCTTCCAATTTTATGCATACGTTTCAAACAAAATGGTCAAGGTCGCAGCGAGCCAGGATATGAAATGTGCTGAAGTTTTTTAACGCATCAACCTGAAAAATGTGACCCATTTTTGGGCCAACAGATAATCAATCAGACAGCAGCCTGTCCTTGCAGCCTGTGTTGCTGGCTTTTACACAAAGTCTTCACTGTAAACCCCTTCTCACAAACCTGCAAAGCCTTGATATTATAAAATGTGATCAGTATATGAAGTGATTTGCCTAGGCGGAAGAAGCCAAGCAGAACAGGTTTGAATGTTGAAGACACAATACAACAATCTACAATATTTGCTATGACACATGAAATTTTCACTTGGCATTTGCCCTTGCTCCCTCCAATACTTCATGAATTAGGCAATTTTCGTACATTCCCAACAAAAAAACAATAATATTTTTAAAAATTTTAGCTTGTCTTCCAAAAGCAATCTACTTCCCACAGAAGTAAAGAATGTCACTTTGGTTCTAAAACATTGTAGATATAAAACTTTGAAGTCCACGTGGTCAGCCCATTTAATTTTATGTGTACCTACCTAGGGGGTATGGGTGGCTGCATTGGTTAAATACGGACCGAGAATTGGTGCTTCGAACAAATCCTTGTGGGAAATCTTGTACTTGCATAGACCGCGCAAGAAACTTCGTTGCAAGCGAGTATATACAAATATTAACTCTACTCTCTATTGATCAAAAAACGGTTTTTATATGCTTGTGTTACAATGTTGAAAAAGAAACTGATTCGATATGTGAGGCCTGGCGGCTTGGGTGCGGTTCTTTGTGGAGTACTTGTGGTAGTTGTGCATTAAGCATTTAGAGATGCTTGGCCGTTTAATAAAAAAGTCTTTTTAATGTAATTAGTTCTTACAGCACGCTCCTGCGATCGTTTCGTTATGCTGTGCGGATTATTTGGTGATACATTAAACCTTCAAAATTTTCCTAAATAGAGTGGCAGCTATATTCGCGCTTAGCATCAATATTAATTATTTCTTCGACCTAGCATTTAAAGCTGCTAAAAGCTACGACGGGCATAACGTACATTATTACCTGAAGCTGTAGGGTAAGACTTTACCATGGAAAAGTCAAAATTTAAGAAATGCTCCCAGGGAACTCTCAGAAAAGTAAGTTACCCAAGTTAACTATCCCGAATTGTGCGAACGACATAAAAGACACTTGCACTTTTTTCCTCACAAAACGTGAAGAGGGCGCAGTCCCCCTGAACTGCAACTTGAACCGCATAATGAGAACCTTTTCGGTATTTTGAAGTAAATCCTGATAATAGTAATCTAATATATGTATAAAAGGGATATGTTTTTATCTCTCCGTGAAAAAAATTTCTTTATCAACATTTTATAATATTTTTTTTCTTTTCATTTGCTTTTTCTTTTGTTTTACGGTCCCCCTTTTTTTTTCGTTTTGCTTGTCTTAGAGCCCCTTGAATTTGGCCGAATTCTAAACAAAAAAAAAAACCCTTGGGGAAGTTGCAACCGTTAACCGTTGTAAAGTTTTAGGTGAATTGAAATTTATTAACCAAAATTAAGATAAACATTGCAAATATGTTTTTCTTATTGCATTACAAATGAGCCACGAGCCAAGTTTTACCTTTTTCTTTATATGTTCGTGTATGTGCTCTCCATAGGCATGGCATGAGATATAACAATTACTTTATAAGTGCACTTTTAACTTTAACAATTCAATTTCTGACTCTGCAAACAGACTGACATTGGCATGCATACACATGCACATGGTACACATATATGTACACACACGCATCACATGCAACGCCGATAAGCGGACAAAGCAAAACGAGTATAACAAGTGAACAACAATTAAAGTTAACAATTTGTACAATTAAACAATGTACACAAACCTATTTATTTATACATATATATATATATATATATATAATTGTGAGTATATCACAAGCTACATTGAATTGAACTTACTGTTGCACACTGGCACATATATATACATACATATGTATAGACTTACCACATGCGCTTGAGCACACTCATCGATATAATGTGTTGTAATTATCACAGTTGTGTTGCCATTCTTGGTGATATCGACAAGATGATCCCAAATGCTGTATCGGCAAAGAGAGAATATGTAAAGGAAAATGGAAAGGAAAAGGTAAAGAAATTAAATGCATAAGAAAGAAAACCAAAACAAGTATACAAAAGTTGTAATTAATGTTAATTAACGAGAAACAATATTTAATGTTTGTTTAATCTGCAACAACTATTTCATCGGACATCTTTTTACTACCCTACTACTACTACTACTATGCAAGCATACCATAAATATTGATTCAATAAAATCTTGGTTTAAATCACTGTTGTCATCAGCTTGCACACAGCACACACCAACTTCTCTGCTCATGTTTGCAAACAAAAATTTTTAAAGGAATTTTCGTTAACTGAGACAAACATATACATATATGTTAAAGGCATTTTTTAAGATATTTGTCATTGTGCATGAGAGATACCCTTATAAATGCTGTGTAAATGTAAACATAGTGGATTAACTGAACTGAAAGCGCCGGAATTTTCACTTCATATTAATATTCATCACTGATACGACTTGGATTTATCAACTTTGTTATTACCTTTGCAGCGTTTATAAGGGATCATCAAACACCCTAAAAGTTCAATATATCACTAGGGAAGAGGAATTTTCAAATCATATTAAGCATGTGACTTATTTGCCGTAGAATTGCTTTATTTCCTTTATAACACCATTCAAAAGGGCATAGATCAAAATGATAGAAAACTTTTGATTTGTTGCACTCATGACTACTTTCTTAGCCTTTGTCTCTATGCTATCTCCTTTGTAATATATTCAAAAATGTCTGTAGGTGTTGTACACGGAGGTCTTTACCTTGTGTAGCCAATAACCTTGGATCAGTTTCGTCAAGTCTGTCCATCTTATTATCTATCATTTGTTCGCATGTAAATTTCGCCAGCCCAGTAATATTTAAAAACTCACAATCTAGGTATCTAACGGAACTTACGTATATGGATGAGTGAAAAATTAATTTCTTGAGGTTTTTTTTTAGGTCACGATAAGCATTGTCCACACAATTAATAGTAATGATAATCCGTGATGCCCCTTAGGGCAGATGTAACATGATAATGGTCAGAAAGAGACAGAGATAGAGACAGAGAGTGACTGAGCACTAACTTTGCCTGCGAACAAATAAGGTCTGTCGCGAGCACCCATTTCGTAGATGAAAGTCTTATCGACTCGGCTACGTGGAAGCATAAAATATAAATTATTTTGGGAGTTTGTTTTTTCTGGCTGACTTCGAAAGACAGTCTAGCATGCTTGTCACGTCCATGTCGTATTTCTATACCACGTAACCTATAAATCTGGACTCAAAACATGTCTCGACTTTGGTCCTGGCAAAGAATAGTTGAACGAATATCAACCATTTACGTTTTATTCACCTATTCGAGATTTATTTAGAAACTTTGCCATGGCCCTTCTATTATTTACAAATAGGCATCCAAGACTAAAAAGATTCCAGAGTAAAAGAAAAATTATTTAAATTTTTTCGACAATGAGCATTAAACTATATCAGTCACCGATCTATGGTCTAGAAGTAGTTCAAAAATTTATTGTAAAAAGGATTGCCAACTAGGTAACAAGATCTACGCTTATCGGAAAAACACATGCAGTTACTTTAACGTAGTATTATTTGTTGCAGTTTACTTACCTTTGACGCAATACAGGATCGACACCTACCGTTGGTTCATCTAAGATTAATAATTCGGGCTCGTGTAATAAAGCTGCCGCCAAACTCATGCGACGCTGTTGTCCTCCACTTAAATTCTTAACAAATTTCGAACCATTCGGTAAATTTAACAGCTTTAAAAGGAACTCAGTTCTATCTTCGACATCTCTACGGGACATGTCAGCAATCATACCAAAGTAGATTAACGTTTCTCTCATCGTAAATTCACCATACAAAGCCACCTCCTATAACATGCAACGAAAAAAAAGATGAAACACAGAAACACAATGAAAAGGAAAATGGAGGAGAAAAGAAAGGAATAAAAAAAAAAAGAAGCAAAATGCACGTAAAAGAATCGCAATGTAAATGAATGAAATAAAGTCCTGAAGAGAAAATGCTCTCTACCACGGTATATGGGGACACCATAAATTGTATTTTAAATGCTTCTATTAATAGCGTCAAAAAAGAAAATGACAAAGAAAAAAAAGAAAAAAAAAAAACTGAGCAAAAAAATTCTTGTAAAAGCAACAAAACTTTACAATAATAATCTGTAAAGCAAAAAGAACCAGTCAGTGCTTTTTTTGTTGTTGTTGTTGTAATAATGGAATTATAAAAGTATATCCAATTTTCCAGATTTCTAATTGAATTGAATAACCTTAGAACAAATGCTATTATTCTTTGTTTTTAATTTCTGTCCGGTAATCTATCAGAACTAAACTAGAAAGACATCTACATGCACTCAAACGAGGATAGGAGACAAATCAATTAACAGATTATCAGAAATATCAATGCTATGCTAATATGCTTTCTATATTGGAATTAAATTCAATCCAATGGAAAGCTAATCTCAATAATAAAAACCGATAATAAAATAAAATGGAAAAATAGAACGGAATTCTTTAAATCTATTGAAGCACAAAGATTTACTTACAATAGTTTTCTTTAAAATAGTAAAATATTGAAAAAAATTTTTTTTTTCTTGCCATCCTCATGGAGTCCCTAGAGAATAGAGGATTTTTCTACTCACAGCTGAAAAGTGGAAAAACGGAAATTGGGCTATCGCATAGCCGTGAATATTGTACTCGAGATTTCTACATCGGTATATTCACCCGGTTGAATGTCATCGGACAGACAGGACAAAAAAACTTAAGTTAGATTCAGAATTACTCCATAATAAAATAAGACTGGATTTATCTCAAGTCCTTGTCAGTATTGTATACGAACGCATAAACTTAATCTTCCCTTGTCTCACAGGTGAATTAGCGTATAACAAGGACTTGATCGATTGTCGTTACCGTTCTAAGTAACCTTATATGATGTTATTCTATAAGGATAAATTAACATAATCTCTGTTCCTTATTCAACTGCCTTTAGCGATCTTTAATAGAGAACCCGGAATTTTAAATATGCCATCGATGCTTTCGGGTTATGAAAAAGGATTCTGGGTAAAACTTTTGCAACTCTTTATGATCAATTCTGTCCCGAAAGCTCATCTTAGTCTAGCCTTCAGTCGTTCGATCCAGTTGAGTCAAATGTATACATATGTATATATTTTGTAAAGAACTTTACGCAATCCAATTAGCCCGAGCCGGCTGGAACTCTTTTTCCTACAAGATTAAGTTGGCAACAAGTAAAAACATTACAGGTGGGCGAGGCCCTCGTTTTGGTACTAATACGCCTACAGTTACACAATATTTTCATACAACGGCATACTTTTCATGAGAACCCAGATATTCAAGGAATCCTTATATGCGGTGATATCCCAAAGATATACGCATGCGGTCCAAATTCTATTTACTATTATGAGCTAATTTTCACTATGAAATATTAAAAATTACATCTTCTACTATATAAGTAAGCGGACGTCTGCAACACGCAGAAGGGCTTAGGAAAGATCCACATTTTTTTATTCTACCGTTCGATTCCGAAGTAATTGTAAGCCTTTCTATCCGCCTGTCTGCCTGTCCGTCTTATTTCTGCCCATCTAATTTGTGTAAAAATGCTTTGGATCGATTCACTTTCTCGACCACTCCCCATATAATGCCCTATTTGGAAAAATCGAAAAAATTGCAATTTTCAAAATTTCTTGACAAAAGTGCCTAAATAATAACATTTCGCCATTCTAAAATGGTGGCAAAACTTTGGATCGTCTTGGACAATGTTTTGAACTCGCTCTTATATAACGGAAACTGAAGACGCTGACAAATGGAGGCAATTTTCAGTGCTTTATGACAGTTATCAGATCATAAGAGTAATTTAGTAAAAATATAATCGACCGTACCAAATTTGGACAAACTTGGTCTATTTTTTCGAACCTTCCCTATATGAGGACCTTTACAAAAATGGATTCTTTGTAGGGCAGAAAAGTTTATATTTTTATATACGATGATGAAAATTAACCCATAATAATGAACATGTATCTAAATCTTTGAACCTCATGGGCACAACCATTCTTACGCAAGGTAAGCCCTTATTTACAAAAGTGTCTAATTTTTTTATACTGTTTCGTAATAGTAAGTTCCCATATAAATAGGGTATAATTTTTGTGTTTCATGGCAAAGGGGAATTATGTTGAACAATGCAGTGGAGAGTATTTATTAGTCCGCCTAGTTCCACACTTGTGTTTCACTTGTTTCTTAATTGTTTCTTAGGACAACGTTTGAATGTAAGGAATATGTCGTTTTATGGATCTGCTTGTAATTAACGCAAACCACGAATTTATGGCTTTACACAAAGATTGTAAAGCTTCTGTTTCGGAGCCTTACTAAAATTCCGGTAAAAAGGAAAAATTAGCTAAATGGGGCTAAAAATTCAGTTACATCTTGGAACACGAAGTTTTAGCTTAGTTACCTTGTTTCACTTCTTTTTTTTTTAACAAGGAATGCAACCAAGCATTGACGGATTTGTTAATGTCTCGCACGAGAAAGGGTTTAATAGCGGAAGCCGTTTCGATGCCATTTTTATTGGTTATTATTGGTCTTGATTTTCGGAAGATGAGAGGAAGAAAACGGCTGCACATTTTAATCGTGAAAATGAAAGTGAAAAATATTTGGGGGTTTCCCGCTTTGGGGTCGAAGGGGGACCAACAGGCAGCGTGGGTATTAAAAGGCAATAGGTGCACATGGGATCCGCGTGCGGTACGGTAGGGTTTCGTCTGTACGCAAATGCGATACATGGAATTTCTTTTGGTTGTAACCGTCCTAGGAGTGTTCATGGGCAAAAATATAATCCCCCTCTCACATCTCGCAAACTTGGTACCCCAGCTATGGCACGTATGCATGACTCATACACCTACATTTCTCTTATAGTGGCACTGCGAAGGTGCCCTAAAATTTATTTAAATGACAGCTTTAAATAAAGGGGACATGGGTAGACCTACTGCTACGTTGGTTAAATAAAATTGGTGTAATGGTGTGGCTATAAAAAAGCCAGTGCGATAGGCACACATACGCCTGTCTACGCAAAAAGTAGCCCATCAACTTGGGACCACTATACGAACGTAGATAACAATTTATTAGATAATCATATTACAAACTTTGATTTAAACCGTTATCTATGAGGTGCAGCCAAATCATATAAAAATACGCATGACTTGTTCGATATGTTAGAAAGAAACCATCAAGTATAAAGATATGTGTTATAACTTGCCAATAAATTTCCAAAGCAAGCTAGTGATGAATTTAAAAAATGTTAGTTCAAATACAATAAAATTTATGTCATAATAATCCTTACTTGGGGCATATAGCCAATACGTGGTCCCGGTACACCTGATCCTCGTGAGCCTGGTCGACCTCCCAACACCCATATTTCTCCGGAATTCAACCGTCTACGACCCACAATGCAGGATAATAATGTAGTTTTTCCACAACCAGATGCACCCAACAGGCCATAACTGTAAATGAAAATGAAACAAAAAATTCGACACAATTAACTAAAAGACTAAAAGTTAATTTTAAAAAAGTGCATGTCGATGAAAAACGAAATCTTAAAAAATAAAAATGACAAAACGGTTTTGTTTGATTTGAAAAATCCGTTCAATTTGTCCTTCCTACATATATCTTTAAATATATTCTTCAAGAGTGTAGCCAATAAAAACCTCTTTCCACAAAAAAAAAAAACAAATAAGGAAAGAAACAAAAATCAAAAGGAGGAGAAAATTAAATAAATTTTTTTAGAAAATTTTCCAAATATTATGTTTTACTAAACCAGAGACGTTTGTGGTTTGGAATGCACGTTGGCGGCAGAGAAGGTTCCAACATATACACAATGTCGACGGCAACGGCAAACGAGACAACGTTTATGCCCGCAAAGGGAATATTTTTCATATTCTTGTTGGGCAAATAAAATAGTAATTGTCTATATACAAATATGTGCGTGTGTGTGTGTGTGCGTGTTTATGTGTTCTACTAACATTTATGCATTTAATCATTCTGTAAGTTACGCTCCATCGTGAGCCCATATTATTATTTTTGTTGTATTAGTTGGTCATTAATACCTTTTAATGTAGGTGCGCAGTCGGTGTTGGGTCATTTGTTTTCATATTTTGTTAAGCCTCAAAGCAGCCGCAATGATCCCCAAAGGAGCCACCCAATATACTTTATGTGTGTGCTTTTTTCAACGTACCTATGTACGTTACAGGCATTTCTAAATTCCGTATATTTCTCTGGCCTATACGTGTAGTTTGCAGCTCCTGCTAGTGGAGAGAACTATTCATTAGAGCGCATATACCAAGCGCCAGCAGCAAAAGTGGGCTTATTTTCAAGTTTTATAAATGTTTTGATGATTTTCATTTTATTGTTTAACATTTTTTCAGTTGTGTTTTGGTTTTTATTTTTTTTTTTTTTACTTTTGGTATTTTTGAAACTGAAATTTTCCTCCCATACATCTCTGCTGGTTGTTCTTTTCTATTTGAAATGCCATATATATAAAGGTAATAACCACACATACTCTATCTGCATGTTTATGCCTTTTTTTTCTGCATGCTTTTGTTGGGACAAGTTTAGTTTACTGCCATTGTTTTGGTAGATACTTTCTGGTTAAAGAATTTTGGTTATTTTCATTGAGAGATCTTTGTGGCTAAAGAATGTTGAATGAAATCAAGATAAAAGTTATATGCAATTTAAGGCGAATCTTTTCTCACCTATGATCAGTAAAGATGCAGCGAAAAATTCACTCACTTAATATTAACCGCATTATAAACATCGTATATCGTATATATATCTTATTTTTTTACTTTGGAATTGCTAGTACTTTATAGCTAATCGAATGAACTAAAAGCCATATCTGCCTATTATACATATGTACAGGCAGTTCTTTGGGAATGTGGGCGAAGGCTTGGATATGTAACGAGTTTTCAAGCTTCATAAAGTGATTTCATTGGGGTAAGGTTTATGAACTCATTGAGAGATTTGTGTTGAAAAGTTTATTTCTGATTTTTGGTTTCACTTTAGGGTGAGGCCGAGGACATGTCAGTTGAAGCCGGGGACTTATCCAACAGATTTTGAAATTAAAATTTATTTCTTGTGGCCACACAAAAACTTGTCAAGTCGGAAAATGATATTTTGTGCTCAGATTCAGTAAACAAATTTTAGTTGAATAGATCCTATAACAATCGAACACGCCTTTCTGTTCTCCACTTGGCTATGTGTCATGAGAAAATGTTAATCTCTTAAATGCTATATTAGGCAAAGATTCTCCTCCTCCTCCCCACTTTTCCTTATAAAATGAAAAAAATAAGGTAAAATAAGCGCGACAGTAGTCAAATCCCCTTCAGTTGGGCCTTAAAATCGAATTATAAATATACATACATACATCCTTTATCAATTTATAGGGCCCTCTTACAGGCGTCTTTATACATACCATATGTTTGAAAAATTGAATAAACCCTCTGTGGTTGATAAAAAAAGGAAAGAATTTATATTGTGGTATTTGTGATCTTAATTTTTTTCAATTTGTTTTTCAGCTTTGGTTGTTTTCTAATTATTTCCCGTAAACTATTATTTAAAACTTCAACTAAAACTTGCTTTACATATTAATTATTGAAATAAAAGTGCAACGTTTCGTATGTCACCTCCGTCCTTTAGTAAATTTTTTTAACGATTTTAAGTTTCTCAAACTCAGTATATACATATAAATTAAAAATATATATATTATATTAGGTGTTTGCCAAAATTTTGATCAGGAACTTTTGTACACAAGGGTACATAACGGTTGAATAGCCCCATAGAATATGCAAATTCTTCGCCAATTTCAAATGTGGCATGCACCTACACATGTCCGCCGGTTCGTCTGTCCATCTGTGTGTTTGCGCAGCTTTGTAGTATTCCTGGTACAAATTTGCAAAAGATTTCGGAATTGACCTAAACATTTCAAAGGACACGGCTACGACACGCACGCGTGTCTACGACAAAAGCTATTATTTTAAAAATCAGGGAGAAATTAGCTGCGCGCGTTCCATATTATAACACTATAGCACTAAAATGTTGTTCTTCTCCTTTTTTTGTCTTTCTTAGGATAGCGACGATGGGTATAAAAAATTCGCTCCCGACCGAATTTAATTTTCTCAGTTGCTCTAATTGACTTTGTCCTTTCCGATGATACTTTTAATTGATAAGTTGTGGTCCATCGTGTAGTTAATACTCATTTGTTAGCTTTAGCTTTTTATATAGATTTTCGTTGTCATTCATTAAGTAATCATGATTTCCTTTCACTAAAAATTCATATTGAAATTTCTCGTGAAATTTTAATGATTTAGTTTTGCAAACGTTACTGATTTTCTGTTTCGTAAAATTTTTTCTTATGCTACAATAAGTTTTCTATGGCTTCCTTATTTTTTCAATTTAAATAAAATTGAGCAATGGTTTGGCTTTTCTCCCTTTTAGGTCACGTTTGGGATTGGAATTTATGCTTGATTGGTTTATTGCAATCATTGCGTTTCAATTTAATTCATTGCTACATTCAAGTTCAGAGAAATGTTTAATTAGTTAATTGTATAACATTTCAAGCAGAGAGCTTGTCACTGTTCACTGAAAAAGGAGGAAGAATTCTCTTTCCCGCCCGCTTTTGCTTGAAGACGTGAGGGACGGGCAGACAAAGAATTAAATGTATAAAAAGTAGATGTGTCGTAAGTGAGAGTTTTGTTTAATTTCGTTAAAGTTATTAATTGTCAGTTCTTAGCGAATATATAAACAGACACTGCTACCTACATATGAATATCGTATGGCAGAGTAAATGCTTTCCACTTGCTTCTAAAGGTATTGAAAAAACTTAAATTTTGATACACTATAACATTGGGAAGATGTTCCCATTCTTGTGCAGGTAGTATAACCTCGCGCATAGGACACACGTTCAATTCTTTAAGGCTTTATCTGCAGTACTTTATTTTTTTTGAAAAACTGAGGGGTTCTGTGGTTTATGTGGTGTTGCAGGCATGTCCTCCGACCGATTTTGCCTAAATATAAGTTGGAAGTAAAGGAAGAAGAAGGACAGGTTAGTTAGGTCAGAATGCTATATACTAAAGCAAACTATTAAAAAAGTGAATTCGTTTTCTTGTAAACAAAGTCCGTTTAGGATAATACAAAGCCGGTAGCCTTAGATGCTAGTGGTTTTAAGAGTTTAGTCTTAGAATTTATTTCTCTGGCGAAATTAATAATAATAATAATAATAGGATAATACAGTTAGCTATTAGTTAATTTAGTTATATGAGGTTTACACTAGATAACTAGTTAGTTATAATAAATGCTTCTGCTATTAGATAAGGTTAAGCTTGCTTTATTAGTATTATTATGTATAAAGGAGAAGTACACCTTTCTTTATTTTCCTTTGTATCGCATGTAAGGCACGCTAAGATGGGAAGCCTTAGACAAAACTAACGAGCTCAGCAGCTTGCTCTCTATACCACGAAACATACGGAGGGCAACGTACGCCACTTCAAAGCAAATGCGGATAATACTGAGCATCAACCTATTTCGGATGGGTCTACTTCCTGTTTCCAGGGTTAATTTCATTCGACTGCTTACTGTGCACATTCCTAACAGTCGTTTAATACAAAAAGGAATTCGCGAAATAGAAACAAAAAACTGCGCTATGCAATGATAAAAATTTTAACACATTAGTTAAGAGTAAGGGGAATTAACCTTCAAACACCTTTATCACTCACTGAGTCCGGATTTTCATAACCGTGGCACTACGTGCTTTGTTTCTTTGCTTTCTAAAACTGTAGTGCACGTAGTTTATTCTAATATTCGAATATTCATTTCTGTTAGTGTAAAATATCGTATTTAACTAACTAAGGCACCCTGACCGCTTGCTAACATTTCTAACGATCGTTCATTTGCGGCACGCTTAAGTGTTTACTTTCATTCAATTCAGTGAGCCTTTGAGAACGTGAATTCTCTGCAAATTTCCTAAGCAGAGGAATGAAGTCACGGACTCACAAATAATACATTACCGTGAAGAGTTATTCAACTTAAAGAATCGCATTATATTGTTTGGATTACTTCGTCATGGTTTACAAAAACAAAAGAAAATAGTGGTCTTTATAGAAGGAATTTGGTCGGAAATATTGCCCTTGTAATCACTATTGTGACTGTTTTAGGGATTTGTTGAATTATTCTTTTCTAGAAGCACCGCGTATTCCTTTCTGGCGGACAGCGTCACAACAAACAATCCAGCTTTGAAGACAAGGCACATCAACCATAGGAACATTTTTATACTTCTCGAATGTCCCTAAAGTATTGGCTCTTCCTTAACCCTTAACTGTCCCAGAAAGTTTCGAGTTTGCACCTTGTCAAAATCAAGGTATCACTCCTACACGTACATCAAAAGCGAAAATAATATTTACCCATCTGTGCTGCAGTAAGTAAAAATTTGATATCTCGCATATGAGGGCAT